CATCTTCCAAGAGAATAATAACATACCGTCAGGTCTCTTGCCATCGTCGCGTGCCTAGCCATTAGGTTCTGAGACAAGAGCTTGACGAATTATGTCATTAATACTTACGTGTCAAGCAAAACCGGCCTGCACTACAACTACACGACAAGCCGTGGTGTTCAAGACTGTTGACATCTTCACCCAACGACAACGATGAGGGGAACAAAATGAATCTCCAAGCTTTAAAAAAATTGCAGCACGGAATGTGGTGTCGCCCAACAAAGTACCTAGGTTGGACTAAGGCAAAGCAAGAAGCCATAACCCCGACTCCCACTCACCTACAGCCAGAAGGCGAGCTCGCTCTGCAGATGAACAAGCGGAGTTCAACAGATTTTCGCTCACATTTCTGCAGAGCTGCTCGTCCAATTGCCTCTGGGAGAGTGATTTGACGGGGGGGGTCAATATTTGGGCAAACAATTTTCATCAAAATTAACCAGTGATTGAGAAATAATTTTCCTGGTTAATTCTTTTGACGGAAGATACGAAAGCCGGTAAGCTTACACTGGAAATTTTACGGACGCCAAGCCCACACATGCGGACTGGCAGATTAGCCCGTGTCCAAGCTCGGTTATCGATAGCCACATTCAAAATTAAGGACAAAGTTTGTCTAATGATTTGGTCAATTTTTTCCAAAAGAAGCGGTGCTAACCAGAGGTGGTTCGACCGCAGATAGTACATAAATTTGGGACCAATGCAACAAAATCGAATAATAGTGTAGGCCGAATGCATTCTAATATGATATAGTCTTTCTGAAAAGACAGAAAAATTTTGAATGTTTTAATCAATCATTTTTCATAATTTTTAGTTGTATATATTTATTTAATTTATGTCTTAATGATATTTATTTAGATTACAAACAGAATTCAGAAGAATATTTTATACGTCAATATTTAAAAATTAAGCTAGATGGTCAGCCTGACATTACCTCAGATGCAAACTCAGAGGTACTCAGGTTCATATACAAGTCGTGACAGATATACATACATACATACATTTATGCAACGTTGAATAAACATGCCATTAACATCTACTTTAAAAGTTTTAATAGATTTATGACCGTTTTCACCAACCATTCCTTAACCATCATTTAACTAAAAGTTACTTACCGTGACGTAGCGCTAAACTAACGCATTATTTGCACTGTTAGAACAAGTGACAACTTGTACTGTAAGCCGTCACTTATAAAAGTAATAACACTATTTTTGGATATTTATGGAATAAAAAAATAACACGAAAACCGTGTGACCACCATATCTGACCACTGGCTACGGCGTAGCAGTTTCGTAGCGGCGTAGAGCCTAAATTCACAAGATGTCACAACGTGCTAAGTGGTAATTTCCGATGCTAAGATCTTGTATGTTCTCAACCAAGAGTATTAAATAGTCAAGTTTATTGTTATTAAGCGTTACTCCAAGTTACGTTGATTATTTTGTGAAATATGAATGTCGTTACGAATCGACTCAAATTATTTTATAGTACAACCATTAATACGAACTTATGTAAGTAACTATGAATAAATATAAAGTGTTAGTAGATTTGATTAACTAAATTATAATACACAATCAAATTACAATAGGTTTTCGTTAAGATAACCAAAATACTTAACACCTAATTTCCTGACCGGAGTCGTCAATCAAAATGATTGACATAATTGAAACAAGCAAATTACAGGTGCTCAAAGCTAAACCGTCACTTTCGGTGCGAGAAAATGGCGATAAAAAGCAAGTTAGCTCGTTCATTCATGTTTGGAGCGGCTGGCGCATGGCGGCGCGGCGTGCGGCGTGCCGGCATCGCATGCACACAGGCCGTGTCACGTCACACGCATTCTTTGACAACTGTTACCTCGTCCATTACCTTTGCATTCTTTCCGACAAATGCCACTACACCGTCGAATATTTGCTCGTCATTCAATGACGAAACCTGTCCGTGTATGTATCGAGTTTCACACTGTCTTATTCCACGTTTTATTGCAGTAGCCGTAGCGACGGCAACGCACGTGGATATTCATTAATGCATGACTTAAGAGTGTAAATAATTAGTTATATTTAAATCCAATAAATGATTAATAAATAAACTGTAGATAGTTTTATACTACAGAATGTACATAACAGATAATTTAGGAGTAGATCGATTATATATTACCATAATTCGTTTCTGAATATAATTATTCTCCGATTACTCAAAAATCTACGACCGATTCGTATGTATGTTTCAATTATTTAGGTGTTGAAACTACTTCGTAGGTCAAGATGCCTGTCGAGATATATTGCAGTGGAGCTTTACTGTTTTGAAAAAGCTTGGTGTATGCCGTCAAACCTCGTGGTGTTGTGGAAAGTCAAGGAAATGACGTCGCTTTTATTTTCATTGAGATGGGATATAAACAAGGCTGTGGCGCACGAGTGCGGGCGGGGTCACTTAAAGTTAGTGTCGGCTCGTAAACGTATCGGCCAGGCGGGGGCTACTGAACGCTCGCCGCCGCCGCCGCCCCGCGGCGACCGCACTCGACACGCTGCCGCACGTCGCCGACGCTCTGAATCGCACCCATTCACACGATATCTTACTATGGATACACCACGTATATATTTTCCTATTTGCGAATTATCAAAAATTGCACCAACAGGTAAGGCATTCTGTCATTTACAGTACAAATTAAAAATAAATATCTGCAGAACAATAAATGTTGTACTGACTACACGAAATTCAGAAATTTACTTATCATTAATTTATTGGTGGATTTATTGAAAATTTCTATTTTATTTAATTACACCGACCGCGAAGTTACAAACGTCGACGTTTTATGCAATTTTATTATAATTAAATTATGTAATGAACTATGATAATCATTATAAGATTAATGGAATTTCATTGAATAAAAAAATTGTTGTTATTTTTAATCAAGCCAAACTAAATTTGTTTTAAAATAATTATACAAAATTAAATTAGAAAATGGAGGATAACACTTGTATAAACATGGTGAATCTGGACTAAAATCCAGTTGCAAATAACGGTATTTGTTACAGGGCATGTCCACAATAGGCTCCCCTGGGAAAGGCGGCGGCGGCGTTCCGACAACAGACAGCGGGTGTCAGCCGCCACGTGCTACCCAAGGCCACTCGCTTAGTGTCAAGGTCATTGCCACTCCAGCTCAGTACACGCGGCACCCACGCCTCTCCTGTCACCACAAATAGACCGACCTACTCTACACCACTGTGATCTACCGCAACAACTCGGCACGAGCCCACTGCACCGCCGCCATTGCGACGAACAAGTTTTTTTGGCGTAGGAGACAGGACAGGACACACTTGTTCCACTCTGTAGCGTGATTAAGCAACAATTTAACGCTACTACTACTACTACTACTACTACTACGTTTCAAACTGTAGGACAATTAACGTCAAAATGAATCTACTGACTTCTCGACAGAAGTAATCTACAAAGCACAATTTCATTATTGCATAAGATCAATTTTACGCAACATCCATCTTATTACTCATAGTCTTAGTACAGTTTATATAAGATCGCGTAGCACGAACTAGGCAAAATTACTCAAGTATTGTAATAGAACTCATCATGATCACTTATAGTTCAATCCCGAAAGACCCGAACATGTTCAATTTCATGCAACAGATTTTCAGTGATGTTTTCACAAGTCTATTAATGATATCTATTATTGTATGTGAACGTGCAGTATAAGCCTAACTATCTACAATCAAAAGCATATAGATACTTACAACTTTACCTATCAACCCACCATACTTTATATCAAAAATACCAGGAGGTATGTCTATCTACATATGTATACTTGATGAGACTACAATTACTTGTGCTTTATGCCCGTGGGAAATTAATTTTCTTCAATGCTCCTAACATTTGCAACGTTTCATTACTTCCTTAGCTAATATTCTTTTCATGCTCCAAAAGAAAATCTTAATAAAAAAATCACTTTTTGATTACTACATCGAATATCCGAGTTTGATTGAATGAAAGTTTGTTACTAATGTGGTTTACTGGAATGGTGACGAAACATCCGTACAAGTAATTAAAAATGAAATCATTTGTTTCGACATAGGTATCTGAGTTGAAACCTGCTGGTACAATTTATTATATAATTATATTGTATCTTAAAAAGAATTAACGTAATAAATAATAAGAAACGGTTATTTTTACAAAAAAGGTAGTAATTAATTACCAATATGATTCCAACCTGAAAAAAAAATAGATAGAAACAAATTTTTGCTTCTTTATTATGCCTCATCTGATACCCCGCGTATGGATCGTTAGTTTCAAGAACTTCGTGACGATATTCTACTACAACGTGTCAAAACAAACGTGTTCTCAGATATCATTCAGAGGCAAAACTAGTTCATATACTTTTAGAGATTATAACAGGTTTTTTGGGAAGTAGGCATAAAAATATTTTAAAAGCCATATCTTATTCCAACGTACAAACACACATGCGAATAGGTGGTTCGGCAACAACAACGCTTGTTGGGATCCTTGAACTTTTAACTGACCTTAATGTTATGCTATTAAAGAACCAATTTCGTTCATAATTACTTCATTGAAATAATAGGTTCAATATGGGCCATATTCTATTTGCAGAAAACCAGTTAGAAATGTACGAAGAGTTTACATTTTCCTGCATTAAAAGATAGGCATGAACGTACATTTAGTATGAAGGTACCGCAATCCCTTCGTCTGTTTCGCAAACGGGATCTCTAATGAATGACGTCAAATTAAGCTCTAAGCTTAACAGAAAACATTACTGGAACCTTAATTCGCGATTAAGGCAAACATAGTGCGCGGGGTGAGTGGTGGTGTGGAGACGAAGGCTGCGGAGTCAGTGCATGTGCGGGTGTGTGGCGCGGGGGTGCGAGGGGCGCGGGCGCGGGGCAGGCGCGCCGCGGGCCGCCACTTCTCTGTACTCGAGGAGCCCCGGTACACCTCGGTTTCCGGCGGGTGCTCCCTCGCGGATTCGCAAGTGTATCCCGCCGCGCCGGGCCCGCGTGCCGGCCACGTGGCCTCCGCTCACCTACTGGCGACACCCCGCTTTTTTACGCGCACTTCATTGATAAAACACTTCTAATTAAGTATCGGCTATTAAAGTAATCCTCACTTTTTTACTTAAGTGCACTTTTACCTATAAATTAAAAATAAGTTAGTTAAAACTTAGATTACGTAATAGTTAATTATATAATAGTGTTATAAGGACATTAAAATATTTACAGACGTCAATCAAAGTCTCAAGTTATCAAAGATCGTATTTCAACTCCAAACAAACTGGGCAAAGTCGTTTTGGCACCGTGGTTCCTTAGATTACTCGTGTTGACTCTAATTAAACATATTACATATTTGAATATTATAATTTATTTATACATCTAAACCATTTGCCTAAGTGTTAAGTTCGCAAAAGTCGCCGTCGGCACTGTAAATCTTGTTTGAATACTTACATTTTAACTAGCACTCAATAACTACATTTTTTAAATATCTAATAATAAAATTGTACGGAAAATATGCGAATATACACGTATACTAAAGAGGAATAAGCTAGGTAAGTATGTATATTAATAGTGAAACCAGGAAATAACTATCCAAGCTATTTATAGAGCAAACACGTCTAATTTTAAAACTACGCTCAGTTTTTTTGTAATATAGGGTAGTTTTATATTTTTTAATGTTTACATTTAATAAAAAGTAGCATAAAATTTACGATTTCCGTAATATATTGAATAGTCCGTGAGAAAATAGCCGCTATATTGAAATAACACACAGTTCACGAAGTAATGTTCTATCATAATTAAATTAAAGCATTTAACCGATCACGATTTTATTATTAAAGGTCTTTACGAGTAAATTATCGTATTGGTCGTTAACAATAAAATAATGTTATGGGAATAGTTGTAAACGATAGGGACGGGAGTTATAGTGCGAGAACTGTAATCTGTTTGTACCAGTAAATGGACCGTCATAACAACGTATTGGATTTAGTGCCTGACCTCGCAGCCGATGAGACAGCATGGAGTCAGTCCAGCCTCTACCGGACGATCAAGAAAGAGCTTACAAGCTCTACAGCATGTACAAGGTAAGTTTATTTTCTAATTCAGGTTACAGGTTGGAGTGAGATTTTATTGGAGATACCAGGTGGTTCCGTGAAGCAGAGATTCATCTTGAATTGTTGCAAGATAGAGAAGTAGCAGATGGATCTAAGTCGCCCCCGGAAGCTTATCTTATTTGGTGTATTAGATGCTACTTATTTTAACACTACAATTTCAAAATATTATGTAAGTATTGTACGTTTTTTGCAACAAAAGAAGACAGAAGTTAATTTCTCCTTAAAATAGTTTAAGAATTTAAGGATTATCGACCAGACATCATTGCGTTTATTTATATTTTTTGTATACTACCAGTAGCGACAATAAAATGTGCTGAGTGTAGTAAACGGTTACCGTAGCACCTGCAATACCAAAGAGATCACAAATGCATTGCCAACCATAGAGGAATCATTTGCACCATCATTTTCAGGGAGCCCTCCTCCCCAATAAACCCGATGACGCAATGGAATAGGCGTTTCATCTGCAATCAAGAGATTATACTCTATTATACAAGGTGTAGTTTTGAAACCGTGCATGTCATTTCTCGGGGGCATGTCACAGAAGTCATAAAGGTTCAATGTAAGAGAAAATTTCGGGCCAAAAGTTAAAAATACGGCTATAATAAATCGTTTAAGTCCGACAGTATTTCAGAATAAGCGACAACAATGTTACTTATTGGAGTTTTATGAAATTAGGAATAATATCAATTACGTGTTTGAGTTTGTGTGTGCTAAGCCGCGTTATAAAGCTAGTTACAAGACGGCGGCGCGGCGTGTGCTTCGCACTTACGGATTTCCGCAATTTCAGAAAAATGACAAATATTTACCTACAATTTTTTTATTGATTCGGACTCAAAATCGATAGCCGAATTACCTCCTAGAAAATGACGCGGCTTTAAAACATCACCTTGTATAGCCACACTGGTATTATGTATATAGGTGGTACTTCGGCGGCCAAGGCATTCAAGCAGCTTGTTAAGCTAAAAAAATACAATGGATCATAGAAAGTTTTTATGAAATCGTTTACTTGTCATAAAAGAGGTTTCAAAGTAGGATAAAAATTATCCATAACGAGGTTCATAAGCCACGTTTAAGGGTTTGGAATTGCACCCGGAAAGAAGAGCCAGGCAAAGCTCAAATATTGATGTCTGAAAAGCCACGGGCCACTCATTGATGATCACCAAAATATTAGGATAAGTTCCTAATATTTTGGTGATATAGTTCCGAGAACCAGAAGTTCCGAACTAAGACTGACTATGTACTGATAATGACAAATTAAGTATAATACTTTTAGAGTACACAATAAAAATATGACTATAACTACACATGCCTACATAATGTGTTATTAAATTGTGAAATTGGATTAATGGCCACAAAACATAAGATCCAATTTCTTATGATTGTTATTACGTGACCATTTTTGGTTTCTAATAGATTAGAATATTTTGTTAGCCTACTAATATTGTAATGTGAAAGTTTTTGTCTTACTAAGGACTATTCGAACTTATGACGTTGTTTTAGATTAACATAAATTAACGGTTCGCCTGATTTTCTTTGATGTTGGAGATGAACCTATAGGTAAGATGTTATAAAATTGCTCTCCAAACTAGAATGACGTCGTATATCATGATAATGAAAAAGAAAAACGATTTTAACAATATTGGTACCCACATATCTGTTTTTCAAAATAATTCTTTTTTTATGGAATAGGAGGCAAACGAGCAGACGGATCACCTGATGGTAAGCGATCAGCGCCGCCCATGGACACCCGCAACACCATAAGAGTCACAGGTGCGTTGCCGGCCCTTTAAAAAGGAGTACGCTCTTCTCTTGAAGGTTTGAAGGTCGTATCGGTTCGGAAATACCGCCGTCGACAGATCATTCCACAGTTTTGCTGTGCGAGGCAGGAAGCTACGTGAGAACCGCACAGTTGTGGCCTGCCATCCATCTATATGATGGGGATGCATATGCTGTCGTGAGGGTCGATGGCGAAAAGATGCGGCAGGTATCAGGTCAAACAATTCCTCAGAGCACTCCCCGTGGTATAAACGGTAGAAAATGCACAATGAAGCTACATCTCTACGCATTGCCAAAGTGTCGAGCCGGTTTGAAACATCTGGACATCCAACAATCCGAACGGCACGCCGCTGAATGCGGTCCAGAGGAAGAAGTTGGTACTGGGGTGCCCCCGCCCAAAGATGAGAACAGTATTCCATGTGGGGCCGCACCTGTGCCTTGAAAGCCTCCGGTAACCTTACTCACTCGACGAAACACAACACAAGTGTTGTTTCACGTCGGTTTTCTGTGAGGCCGTGGTATCACTCCGGTCAAACCGGCCTATTCGTGCCAAAGAATGGCTCTCCCACACTTCTAAAAAACAATTACCTACAAATACATAATTCGTATGCAAGTTTTAAATAATCCCAACTATCCAATACTTACAGACAAATTATTGGTCCAAGAAATGTTCCTTGAAGCATTCTTGATTTCTGTGCAAACGGACGACAATACCTTAAACCCTTTAAAACGAGTGGTCAATATACGACTAGGTACACAATGTACAGAAACACTGAGATAAAAGTAAAATTACATTAAAAATAAAATCCGAACCCTTACTTGAAGCATACCATACAAAATGCCTATTTTTTAATCGAAATAAGTTTAGTTGTTTAATTTTATTTAGGTAAATTAACTAACTTATTCTATTTTCAAATATTTTTTCAGATCCAAAAAAGTGAGTAAATAATTAAGCTTGCGAAAGAATTACTAGTTGTAATGTAATGAAAAAACATAAACGCATAGCCTTAATTTATATTTTCACGAGACGAACGTCTCTGTAGGTAATTTTTTCAAACAATTGTAACTTTAATATTTTCATGAAATAACTGACTACAGAACAAAAAATTTAAAATGAACTTAATCCGATTGGAGACCAATTTCGGCGAAAATAAAGTTCATAATTATCCATCGTTATATAAACCCATTAATGAATCTTTTCGGTTAATATCCGAAACAACGTTAATTAAATCTTATCGCACCATTTCGATTTATTAATATGTACATATTAAAATGCACTCGTTTTGACAATTCAATATCTAGATTTTCCTTTCGTATCCAGAATCAAATGGTGGAAGTCGAAGATCTTGTGGTTCCGTCTGTTAGTAAAAGCCAAAACCAATGTTGCTTTAGGAATAGGATGAACATAGCGCCATCGGCATGTTGCGGCTGTAGTTCGTACTAGGAGGAGGCGAGGCGAGGCGCGGCGCCCCACCGCAGCGCGCGCCACGACCGCCACGCAGTCTTCCCGCGCGGTCCGCACGTGCGTCTAGCGTGCCTTTCTATCGTGCTTCTACTAAATGTTTCCGTACGAACTCGGAATAGGTCTATATTCAAGTGGAACAAATTAATATTAACAGAAATTGATTGTGTTTCTATTTCGTCCAGGACAAGAGTAGTTCGATTTATCGTTCCGGTATTTAAACTTGTACCTAATGTGTAATGAATGAATGACTTCAGTGCTCTATCAATTAAAGTTGAAATTGTATTATTTTCTATTTCCTCCGTAGATTAATTAGAACTTACATGGGACCGGAACGTTTAAATTAATGTATGTTTACTAAACCCAATTCGTTTCGTTGGATGGAATATGTCTATGGCAGCTAATTAAATATTTAAATGGTGGGTACAAACTTTCTGAACATTCTTCTACGAATTTTCAACTTGTTTATAACTATTTTTTGAACTGAAATGTACACTTTTAGCATGTTAAGTGTTGTACTGTGTATTATATCTATTATTTGCTATATAATGTTGTTAAAATTAATATGTATAAGGAATTTGTATGGCTCAATTTAGTTTTACTACCTTTTAAGACAATTAAAATTACTACATCGCATCGTGCCAGTAGTTCAGACCTACATATTTAAATGATTGCGGAAGTAATTTCAGGTCTGATACAATCAGACCCAGCGAAGCCTGTTTTAGAATAACCTGATTACGAAAAAGAGAGTTTGTTTAACAACGTTGTAACAGTTTGCTTCCTGAACGAATTACCTCAGTGGACGGTCACATTTTAGTAGTTCGCTTTAAATGCTTGTCATTTTAACTTTTCATTACAAATGTTACCACACAATGTCGACCTATTCTAAGTGTAATATTTCAGATCAAAGCTATTACGTTATAGTTAGATAATAAATAATTAATTTAAATTACAGAGTATGTGATTGTATATCTAATATTTATAAACGTATTCCGTGGTTGATAAATAACACTATCTCTAGCAAACTGGAACATAGATATTGATATAAAGATAAGATAAAGACGTAGGGCGTACTTAATTATCATTCCTTATTTATTTTAATAAATATTTGTTATGAATCTACTAGTTTCTATAGGTATTTCTGTGAAGTTTTGGGGCAAGGAGTAATGAGGGCTAATAAACGAATCTTAAATGTTGTTCCCCATTTAGGTTAGCCGCAATTTAGGAAGTATTGGAAGGCAATAAGTTTCTAAGGATTTAAAATATTAGCTTCTTAGCTCAACATGATATTTTTAATAGAACTATATACTAAAAAGATTAATAATACCTCGACTTCCTTGGACCTTCAATAAATTTTCTTCTGGTATATCTACCAGAAAAAAACTCCACTATTTAATTACCTTTGATTATACCAGAAAGTAACAATTTACAAAATTAAAAATGGAAAACTTAGTTCGATTAAACAATTAATTCTCCAATATAGAAAACCAATTAGCCTGTTCAGTTTTGTTGTACTCTTAAATTGAGTCGATTAGATACAGAAATATTAAAATCAGAGGGGTATAAAATGAACGCGTACAAAAATGTGCTTCCCTAACGTCCATCTTAAGTTTGGTCGGTGAGCCCTCTGCCACTGACCTGGAATCGTCAGCGGCCAACAGATGGCGCCGTAACCCCAAAATATAATCATGATGGACCTTGTAGCCACTTAACTCATACCTAGAAGAAGTACTACGTTGTCATGAATTACAATAATAAATCTCAGATCTATCACGTAGCTCGTTTTATAGAAGAAGGGACACGTTTAACTAATAATGGCATTATAATCTGAAACATTACAGCTGCAAATAATGTCCATAATGTTTAACCTCTGTTAATAAAAAATATTTTAATTTTCTGAAACAGGTATTGCTCAGATACCTTTTGATATATTAATGCGTTACTTAATATATAGTTAAACACCTTTCAAATAACTAGGTGTTATTAACATGCGTTGGAAGTAAAACAGGTGCAACGTAACGACGTAAACAAAATTAAAAATATAACTAATGTCCTAAAATAAATCCTTAAGGCAAGACTACGTAATTTCAATAAGGACAATTAACTGTCACTTCTCGACTTTGAAGAGATTTAGACAGATAACACGTAATTTAGAATATTAACCAGTTAGTAAAAATGGAATCAACCGATTCCATTTTTACTAACTATTATGTTAACCTTTATTTGCCCTCTATGAACAAATACTAGGATTTTAAAACTAGATTCATAATTTGAACAAATATGATTTGAACGTTATTCTTATTCATCTAGAACTTACGGTTGTATTTTCGTGTGTACTAATGATAGGGACGTTCCTCGTGTTGTATCCGTAGTTCGAAAATGAGAAAAGTAAGTCAATATGGTTAGCAGATTTCGAAATTTACCGGTGCCAGCTGTGACATACAATGTGGCTCCAGAAATTGGAATAGAGGTTATTACAGTTTTAAAACCAACAGTCAGATAACATGAAAATATACTACAAAAGTGGTCTAAAACCACAAAGTACCTACATAAATTTGAATGGTGAATTCAATTAGTAGGTACATAACCTTCAAAGAAAAGAATTTTTTTTTTTCATATTTAGGAATTTCATAAATTCAATAAATACATAGATAAATAGTAGGTAGATAGATGTCATATTGCTAGGTTTTAAAAACCAGAATATAGGTACTTCGTTCATTTTTTGGTTAACCGGTCATGTTAACGTTATCTTATTAATCATGATCGAAGCTTAATAGGCACATTAATTTTATAGGAAAAATATACAGAACGGTCGCCCTAAAAACAAGAGCAATGAACGATGATGAAACCCTATGAAGGCATTGTAAGAATCAAGTAACGGCAATTTGCGGGCCAAACATTAACAAAAATAGTTTAAGAATGTCAAGAATTTAAAAGAAAAATGTGCCTATTTAAAATACAAAAAACGTTAAACATGACGGAAATTGAATAAATTCCTTTACATAATCGTTTTTTAAAACAAGACGTGTTTTGACTTTAAGTAAACAATAGATGTGAATAAATAACCGGAACCAAACATTACATAGTTTTGTGAAAAGAAATAATGTTTTATAAAAAATATCCACCTGCTCTTTTATTTTGAGACGTGTCTCCCACAAATTGAAAGTTATGATGAGAGTTGTGTTCCAATTGTAATAATAACATCAATTGATTTAACGCTATTTTAGTGGAAGGAACAAAACGAGGTCACTGACCGGCAATTACGTCCTCCTAGAGACTCGTCCATTCCACAGCAGTAATGGATTCAAATGTTACTATTATAATTTTACTTTGTAATTGTATGATGCGAGTTTATTTTTTATTTTAAAACATAATAAGTAATATAACAATATTTGAAGCAATACGATGGCAGGGCAAATAACAACAAGTTGTGTCTCAGTTATTGTAAAACGGTGGAATTATTATGAAACACTTTTTTTTAGAAATCTACTTTGATTCATGTTAAGATATGAAATATTTAAAACAAATATACTAGATACTTTCCGAACTGTATTAACTTCTTGCCTACTTTTGAAACTTTCTACTTTCCACGCTCTAAAAACATATTAGAAACATCGTATCGTTATGGATGCCACTTTATAATCGACCATTACTAAGATTTATCAGATTGAAAATTGTTTGTATTATTATTTATGGTTCATTTTTAATGAAGTAATTAATTGAACATATTGTTTTAGGGAATTAATTTTAAATGGATTTAAGTGGTTACCTCCTATGAGTTGCGTTTAGGTACCTACTTCGATGTAATAGCGGTGGCTAGGTGGAGCTAGTGGAGTGTTCATTAATATTTTATTAATACTAACTACTAAGTTGTTACAAAATCGAATCGTACAGAAAGCAATTATCGGCGTGTCCTTTCACTTACTTGTTGATAGTGGTGTGTGTATAAAGGCCCAATGGGACCGCAGCCGGTGTGCCACGGAAACCGGTCTGAGAGGCATGAGACTTGTGGCTCAAGGTACTATTACAATGTTGATCAATCGCATTTTGGAACAACGATTAAAACGGTTCTCATATTAAGAATAGTTACTTATTCAAGAAAGAGATTCCAATGTCTAGTTATGCATTCTTTTCAGGCAGTTGATTAATTAATTTCTTATTTTTAGGAAACTTAGCATCTTTTTATTATTACATTACTTAATGCTGAATAAAAGCAACTTTTTTTAAACCGTAGCCAGATAAGCTTTTTGTATTTTTAAAAATTTATTAATGAGCCAGTATCCGTATTAATTACATTCTTACCGCACCGCACACTGTCTAAAACTCTGACTCTATGAACGTAACTTAATAGTGGATTTTATCTATAAACTCAGATTTAATTTAAATATTAAATATTTAATGTAAAGATCTCGGTTATTAAATTACTCAAAACAGTTAAATCTCTGCGTTTGAAATAAATATTAATAAGTAGATACCTATATGCATACCTACATAGGTATCATGAAATAATAATTGATATCATAATGATAGGCCATGTTCACCTAGTTCCACAATTTCTATCTAATCATTTCAATAAATTTGCCCTCATCTAATATCGCTTGAAATTCAAAGAAATACTGTAGTGGTATTAAAAATATCTATTATTATGTGAATCTAGCTATAAAACAATGATTATTATTTTATTTTAATTACAAAATAATTAAATAGGTTACAACCTAAACGAACAGTTTAAAACAGAGAATGCCATTTGTGTGCGCAACTCTCGCCATTCAATATCGCAATCTTAAGAAATAGTAACTGGATCAAGTATTGGCGCAACTTGCAATAAGTAATATGAAATAAATATTATTACTTTTTTTTCTAAATGAACACTAGTATTTAACATTTAGAATAGGCTACCATAAATTGAGAAAATAAACTTGATAAAATAACTATCATAAGTTTATTGTAAAACGTTTCAGTTCTTGCCTCCTTCGTAAATTGAGTTGAGTTCGTTACATAATGTTCTACGAGGAATTTTAACTGAGCTACACCACAATCTAAGCTCAGAATAATTTGCTTTCATGAACCCATACAGATTATAATCAACAATTTACCCAATGGGGGCCGCAGGAAACTTAATTTTGTGTAAAAAGTAAAAAGCAATAAAATTGATCGTAACTATCATGTTGGGAAGCTAACGAGGTTGTTGTGTACCACGGTTATTGGTATTATACTTGTGATCGCGAAATTGTTCCCGCCCCGCTCATCATAGCACAGGAAACATCTCTTGAGGCCATGTCTAACAACATACTTGGCTATTATAATTACGATAAACTATTATTAGAGGGTTTCTTTCTACACAACTCAAAGTTTTTTTTAAAACGCACTCTATGTATTTGATACGTGAATTCGACTATAGGTATCGTACGTAGATAGCTTAACAACAGGACAATATACAGGAAATAATTGATTTAATCTTGACAAATCAGGCAAATATTCTGAATTATGAATACTTTCTTTATTAACTGCGTTTACGTTTTATTGAATTAAGTATAATACAGTACAATATCCGAGTCAATACAACGCATATCCAACATTTTCAAAATCCGTACGATGCGAAGCCTACTTGCATAAATGTTCTGTAATAAACTATGAACACGCACTTTACGACGTTTAATTTTCTTTGGTGAACCTAATAAATAATTAAAGTTAGACATTTAACTAATTCAAAAACTACTTGCTTATAGCGGTAATTTTTAACTATCGTAAAGAAGCACATCGAGTATTCTTATATTCCAAATCACTTACAACTTTCAGTCGAAAAGAAATAAAAGTAGTCTTTACATAACATCACGCCTCTTATCCCCGAAGGGGTAGGCAGAAGTGCACATTATGTCACTGTACAATGTAACACCCACTTTTCACTATTTATGTTATGAGTCCCATGAAATAGGGGGTGAGCCTATTGCCATATACCGGACACAGTTCCAGACTTCGAGCTACTACTGAGATTTTTTTAAATCCTAGTGATACTTTACCCGACTCGGGAATCGAACCTGAGACCCCTTGCCCGGTAGTCACATTTGCGACCACTCGGCCAACTTTTTTTTAATTAATAAAGAATACATGAGGTATAAATATATTTTATAGACCAAATAGTAAGTAGTAAGTGGAGAAAGGGATCTATACTTTTCTCAGTACCTAATAGCATTAAGCCTGGGATTGTGCCACATACCTTACTATTTGGGGCTTATAAAATTACTGGTAAAAACAAAAAAGACAAAAACATATCCATTTCAAACTCCTTCAGGAATTAAGAAGCTTCAAGTTAAAAATTGCGTAATTTCGATAAGTATACCTTTATGAACTATCTATATCTATGTTTTCTATTGTTCCAGAGACCAGAAAACCTCGAGTCTCCGCTGTCAGTTCCTCGCGACGCAAAGAACAGCATTTACATTATGAATGATCAGGTTAGTAGCAACATAAAACCAGCTAAGATGTGGCTTCTTATGTTTTTACTTTATTATGTATTCAACTGAAAATTTGAAAAACTTCAATCTTGCTTTAAGGTCTTAATTCTCGGAGTAGGTAACGGTTTGACAGACAATGAAGGAGAAAAGCATTAAACATAACAATAGAGCATTTACCTTAAACACACTTAACCCAAACATACGCGTATACGTACTATGAAATTCTGTAAAATTTGAAGCCCAATCTAAAGACATGCCAATACTAAATGAGACATATGTAGACATTTCAACGTAAAATAACCCATTTTTGTTAAAATACGGTTAGATGACAAGTATACTTACCTCTATATAGCGACTTTATACTTCAGATAAAAGGAAAATTAACTAAGTACATACAGGTTAAAATAATATAATTCCTTCTTTGTTTACTATCTATGTACGTAAATAGCATTTTTTTTTATTATTTTTGGCATAAAGATCCAGATCATTTAAACACGCCTGGCATGATAACTTTAGTACCTACACCCAAATGCGATGTAAACTCTTCGTTTCATTCGCTCTTAAAAACACTTGACTACGAGGCAATCTGTAAGAAATTAAAATGTGTACCTAATAATTTTATTACAGAATATTTCCATCTGGAAACTTGAGAATCTAAACCTACGAAAATATTATGTAACTTAATCGTACGAGGTTTTCGTTTCTTCCTTAGATTTGAACATTCCATACAAAAAACAGTTCTAAATGTAAAGACGAGTAAAAGATAACAGGTTCCCTTTCTGGAGACCTCTGACTTTTTTCTTTTTTGTTGTGGCATCGTGGAGTCTTGGATAGTCGTCGTTAGAGTATTTTATAGTTTGTTTTGTTTTTGGTATAAAACAAATTTTCAAAATATCTTACCTTGTTGTTGAAGTGTTTGCAAGACTCGCAAATGTAACTACTGAAGAAAACAGTCTAGAGTTCAGTTCCCAGGTTGGACATGGTATGATTGGAATCCATTTCGGTTTTTAAAACGTTTCCATTATTAAAAACGCTTAATCTGATACTATGTCCGGAGTAAGTATGTATATATAATCTCGCGATGTATTATGATATAGTCTTATTTATATCTATACCTCTTTACATTAAATATAGGTACTAAGGTAGAGCAAGATACGTAGGTACGTATATGATAATAGGCTACTAATAACACACACATAATAAAAGTAAAATACACCAACAACAAAACAAGAGAACACCATACAATGGTACAATTATACTAAGAGCTTTTTATAGTCATTAACATTGTATGGAAACTTCACTTCTTGTTACCTTCTGTGATTCTCAGAGACTTTCTTATAATGTTTAACTATTGAATAAATATAATAGTAAGAGTAATAGCTAAGTACCGACATTATAAACATTCTTCCCGAATGACTTTGTTTTAAAAATATCATACCTAAGTTTGTAACATTACCAGGCTATTACCAGATTTAATGGTTGTTGATTAGGTAGTGATAAGTTTTAGTTTATTTAAGCATTTAAAATTAAAATTGACAAAAAAGAGCAATAGGCAACGCATTACTACGACACGCTCGTGATTGCGAATTGAAATCCTATCCTATCCTCCAATCTATTTCTATGCAGGCTTATTTCATTTTAATTTGATTTCTCGCCGTAATACAACTTCATTGGGCGAACCGAACACACCTAAATAATTTAAGTAATTTTCTCCTAAATTTGTGCAAGTTTATGTCGGTATTATAAATGTCGTTCGCGCTCTGATGGACAACCGGGCTTAAAGTTACAAAGGCAGAGCAATAACGTTTTATTCGCTTTAGAAACAGCTATAAAGTTCGCGAATCTTTCAAGGACAGGTGTAGGTGTACCCTTGTCACGCATGTTGTCGATTTCTTACCTTCCTAACTCAGGGTACTTTTGTGTAACAATAGAATAATGAATCCTATATTTAATACCTATTTATCAATTGGAATTCCTAATCGAATGTTCCCCGCGTACTTATTATTGCTAATAATATAAATCACAAATCACGCACCGTAATGTCACACTTTTGTAAATCTTATACGTAGGTAATGTAAGTTTTGTTTGTTTTTCCTTTTTCCGGTATTAATATGATTTTAATTATAACGCAATTGTCAAATGCCCTATGAAGGGTTACGAAAAATATTTTATTTAAGGCATTGGCTACCAATAAAAAACTGTTGAAGGCAAATCCTCCACTGATGTCGGTCACCGGTGACTGCCATGGCGTTCAACGTGTTAATTTAAGTTTTTTTTTGTGTGTTACGTAAATAAAACTTCTCAATTCTAATATACTTATACTTATTGTAACATAACATCACGCCTTTTATTCCCGAAGGGGTAGGCAGGGGTATACCTACATTACGGCACTTAATCTTAATGCCACTGTACAATCTAACACCCGCTTTTCAGTATTTATGTTATTAGTCCCATGTAATAGGGGGTGAGCCTATTGCCATACACAATTCTAGACTCCGCGCTACTACTGAGATTTTTTGAAAAAGCCCAGTAATACTTTGCCCGACCTGGGAATCGAACCCGAGACCCCTTGCCCGGCAGTCGCAATTACGACCACTCGGCCAACGAGGCAGAACTTATTGTGACAATTGATATTATATTAGTTACCCGTTAATTTAAGAATAAAATTAAATAATGTCAGCTATTTTCTTTAGCAATAATTTCAAATTAGTGCAAAAGCAGATAACAGGAAAAGTCAACGAACTTACGTAAAGGATATGTTGAACTCGTGAAGGGCCTCGACCTTTTCGCCGTATTGCTTATCTTATCCAATTTACCTTATAAAATGATTACGCAAACATTATCCTTGTAGTGTCCCTACTAAATCAATCAGTCGACATCTTTGGTCTTAATTAGTTTAGTTTTAGGTATTAATTATTTAATTTGCTAACTTACCAAATTGTTTAATAACTTAATTATTTAGTTTAAGTGTGGGAGAGCCATGCTTCGGCACGAATGAGCCGGCTCGACCGGAGTGATACCACGGCCTCACAGAAAACTGACGTGAAGCAACGCTTGCGTTATGTTTCGTCGTGTGAGTGAGGTTACCGGAGGCCCAATTACCCTCCCCTTCCCCAATCTCCCCAATCCCTGAATCCCCAACGATCCTCAAACTCCTAATTCTCAAAAAGCCGGTAACGCACTTGTAACGCCTCTAGTGTTCCAGGTGTTCATGGGCGACGCCGATTGTTTACCATCAGGTGAACCGTCTGCTCGTTTAACGGCTTATGCCATAAAAAAAAGTTTAAGTCGCTGTTTCAAACCGGTGAAAAAACTCTATTATAAAAGTTCGCTGTAAATAAGTACCCATTTCATGAATTCTACAAAAGAAAAAATCCTTATAGATCCATAAATGTGTGAAATTAAGGTCTTGGATGAATATTACTGTGTATTTCGATTTTCGATTTGAAATCGAAGTCATTTTTCCAGCTACAGTACCTAACCACTTTTAAAGTTGTTATTGCGAAATGTATTTTTTTTTAAATAAAATATCCGATAGCAATATCTAAAATAATAATCGATTAATCTGTTTGTTTCAGACATTTCACACACCATCCTTTGGCGACGAAGAGTTTGACATTCCACTGATACATGGACAGCATGCAACTAACACTGGCGTTCAAAACTCTCACATACAGTATACGCAGTTACACCATTCCGCTCCACAGGTTAGTATTAAACAAGTCGTCAAGAAAATTTGTATTAATGGGTAAGTTTGAAATCACCAATCCTTGAGCAAACGTGGTGATCAACGCTTAAACCTTCTCCGTGGGAGAAGCGGCCGCAGCAGACCTTTTCAGCAGTGGTCACTTTATAGGCTGCTGATGATTATGACGATGGGTAAACATGAAATGACGAGACATTACGACATAATCAGTATCTAAGTTTAAAGATATCTTCTCCTCTATTAATCTAAACAACCATACTTACCTACTTAAATTTAATGTCCTCATCGTCAATTCTTGATAGGTAATGGTTACTTACCAAATAACACCCAGTAGGTAATTATTATATAAGTATTAATACTTCTCCATATTTTACCCGAGATCTAATAAGAGAAAAATGGATTGTTCACTTTTCATCCTAATAGGCATAACTGCAGTGTAGCACGATTAGTATTGCTACTTTAAACAAAAAGCAATTTAGGAAATTTCATCCACACTAATACCTAAGTAATTTATTGACAACCATTTTATAGGTAAGGAACATTTTTTTTCCTTAAACTTGAAATTGGGTTTATATTATAAATAAAATAATTGACGTACAACAATATATTACAACGCAAAGTAAAATAAACTAATTCCTGTCGGTCATTCTTAGATTAATTAATACAATATTTTTTCAAGCAAATGGAAACTAGAAGTTACACAACAACGTTCGATATCTGTCCTACTTTTTAGATTGGTTTTATTGAAATTAAATTGGTTCCAATAGATGGGTTAGGCACCTCCCACTATACATTTCACAAAGTTAATTTAGTCAAAAACCAATTGTTTTGTTAATTCAATTTTGTATTTATAATCCTTTTACAATAGTTATAAAAATAGAGAGATACCTTAACTGCTCGTAAAAAGAAATATTATTTTTACTCTGTTCTTCGACTTACCTACTTAATTAGTTTTCTGATACCTACCTGATTAGTAAAATATATTTAGCAAGAAAAAATATTTGTTAAATAAAAATACAGGGTTCGAAACAACTAATTTTTTTTACTTTTGCTTTCGCATATATAAGACTTCACAGATAATTTATCATTCCCTCGTCTGTTCGTTTGCCTTGTTACAGTAATTTTATTTAAGGGAATAACTCTCTATGATGTTTAATTTTATTAAATAATTAAATAAAAAACATTATAATGTTTAAAATACCTACCCCAGACAAGTCCGACACCCCTTTGTAGCTAATTGGGTCAAATACTTAAATTAAAATAGTGCAAATTGACTAAATATAGGTATTTACGATAATAAATAGGCATTATTGTACTCATAAAATTAAATCTGAAATCAATAGCAAAGAATTGTTTTATTTTTAAAATCCGGTTTAAAATTGCTAGGCCTATACCACGTGGCATTATCATGCTATAACTTATAAACTAGCTAACTTTTTTAGTATGTAATAGACAATTTATAATAGAGCGCCGCTAATGTGATTTCGAAAGAACTAGAACTTTGTAGTGATGTACCTATTAGTACATAACTTAGTTGCAATAGTTAGTAAGGCCTAGTGGGGCATAGTCCTTGATTCTAACTGTAGTTTGACAGATGACGTTCCGATATTTGAACTTGACAAAATGAATGAATGACACAAATGATGGCAGACTGGCAGTGACAAGATTTACATCAAAAGTTATACGCTATCTGCTACGATTTTTATTTCGCTTGCTTTTATCTTAGTTAAAGTTTTTTTATTAACGAAACAAACTATATTAGTGTGTAACTTGTAACTCAAGTTACACATCTTTCATAAAAACACATTATTTACAAAATAATATCCTTTGTTCCGTCTACAAGTTGTAATCGTTTTTTATAAATTAAACTTAAGTGACCTGCTTTATCTATAAATACTGATTGGCTTGAAAATAACAGACCGTTTCTTAAACGTATGCCAAAGATGCTAACAGTTTTAACGAAGAAAAAGATGACAAAAAACATTGTTTATCTTAGGTTGGTATGATGAACCCGGCACAAGATGGCCTAGCACCACCTGGCGGTGCTCCTTCTTATCAGCAACCGCTATACCTACAAGAACCACACACTCCGGTAACATCACACAGGTGAGTACTTACTTGACTGATCCAATGCTATAATTATTCATATACAGACATTCATTTATTTACTTATATTAATTAACCACTTAAAAATAGTTTTACAAGCTGTGGTTCAATGTTCTATCCCAAATACATAAGCTTATTCAGCATTATTTTATTAGCACTAGGTCATTCTAAGCATTGATGTCTAAGTCATTAACTATCTATATAATATTATGTTATGTACCATTCTGATCTGGGACTTAAAGGAAATCAAATACAGCCAATAAATAGCTATAAAATACAAGTACAACATTTTTTTGCACTTTACATTATTCACTAATTTCACAACTCTACATAAACAATAACAAATAAACAACATTGGCCACAATATTTCAAATCCTTATCTTACCCTGTAAAATAAATTAATCCAGTTAGAGTATTAACAATTAATGTACAACCAAGAATAAGACATTTTTGCCATGACAATGATTTTGATATTTTTTGTTATCTTCACAGTAGTTTTATGTGTGTGCAAACCTTTATTTTTTCACAAAACACTTTTAATTTGTTACCTGCTAATTTTCTATGCTTTTTTTCAATATTACTTGAGTCACCTCTTGCTCTAAAATAACATTCATGAACATTTTTAAAATTATATTCATCTATTTTAAAATTCATAAAATGTATATAATTATGTATTGGGTACACTGTTTTTCTTTAATTCCCAGATCTGCATGGAAACACACAGACAATGTCATGATTAAAATGTAAGTTTACAGACTTTCATATTTAATAAATTAATCAATTGGTGTTATTTTAGTTTCATACAGATTTATAACAATAGAATTAACTTGCAGTGGAGCTGGTGCACCGGCTGGAAACTACATGATCCAGCAACAACCTGGAGGACAACAGAGGTTATTGATGCTACAGCCAACCCAAGTCATGAGTGGACCACCAACTCCTAGTACTCCCACTCAGCCATCAGCTCCAGTATATGGTTCCCCGCAACGAGCCTCTCCCCCTGGCACCACCAGTGATGACTCTGATGATAGTGTGCCTTCACACCATTCACAGGTACCAGTTTTTCAAAACACACAATTTTATTAGTTTTATTTTCTTACAACACCATTAATTAGTATGTATATTTTTTGGTAGACACGAAACTAGTTTTTTTAAGTCTGTGAATAATCTTTTTATATACTTTCTTTTAAATCATTACATATGGACAAATTTTCATTATATAATAATAGAAAAGACAGCTCATAAATAACTCAATTTGTATGCATCTATTTTATTAGTGTGCATGCTTTATTTTATATTAGCACTAGCAGGCAGTGCAGGAATGCTTACTTATCATTTTTATGTTGTGGCATGTGCATGAAGGAAATTCAATATTTCTGATATATGATAGCCTGAAATGTAGGTTACAGTAGTTTAGCCACATTATCAAAAAACTTCTATTAACTTCCATTCAATTTCGAACAATAAAGAAATGAGTTCTATTTTACTGTTGAAAAGAAATGTTTTTAAATACAAATAAAGAATTAATTTGCTGCATGACAAATTAAATTATAAGAGCAATATAACATCACTACAGCAATTTTTAAATTTCACCCATCTTTTAACTATTATTTTATTTTAATTAGTGTAGTCTATTTCTTAGAGATATAGTTCATTGGCATCCTTTTTTATTTGTAGTTATAAAAATATGAACAAGTCAAACAGTAGAAATATAAGTATAAAATTCTAATGAATTGGTTGTTTGTTGGTAGTTGCCTGGTGATGCGGAAAGCCTTCTGCCTATCCATTATTGCTCAGCGAGCCGGCAGCAACAAACTACGCTTCATCAGGTATAGGCAAATTTTATCGCTTTTCATAACCTACATATGTTTAGAAATATATTCACATTTTTGTCACCTATATGTTTATGTTGCCAATGAACTGTATTTTTAGAATGTTTTAATTTATTACAAAATTACTTATAAAATATGAACGAAAATGTAAATTAAACTTTACTTACAGATGGGTGTTGGCAACATGGCAGTTAAACGATCATCACCTGAACCTATGGATAATGGAATGAATCGTGGACAGATGCAGAAAAAGCCTAAAGTTCAGAAAAAGAAGAAAAAACGAGATCCCAATGAACCTCAAAAGTAAGTGATACTTACCTTTAAAAAATAAATATTACATCTCTTATGTAATGTATAACTAACTTATTGTGTATATGCAGGCCTGTGTCTGCATATGCTTTATTCTTTCGAGATACCCAAGCCGCAATCAAAGGTCAAAATCCAAATGCAAGTTTTGGTGAAGTGTCTAAAATCGTAGCGTCCATGTGGGATGGATTAGACTCTGAACACAAAAGTGTGAGTATTCTTATCAACATTTTATTAAATTCTTGTGCAACCTATGTAAAAATGGCATCATAAAATTGTATGTTTTATTACAGGTCTATAAACAAAAAACAGAAGTAGCCAAGAAGGAATATCTGAAAGCACTTGCTGCCTACAGAGCTAGCCTGGTATCAAAGGTAAACTATTTTAGTTTATGATAAAACTTTTTTCAAATTATAAATTTTATTAACTAACTGTAGGTTATTACTAAAAAATTTGAAATGCTACTTGAAGTACAGTTCTTATAAACTTTTATATAATTATCCTTCTATCCGATGAATGCCTTTGTAATCGTTATTTATATTTAATACTTACTCAATTTAATTTTTTTATTATTATTAATTAAACACAATTTTTAGGTAGTAATCTCATGCCATTTACCGTCTGTACTTTAGCACAAGCCTATGAATAGTGTTTTGCCGTACTCATAGATGGCGCTATTCTACAACTTTGTCGATTTGACAGTTGTCCACTCACTGACTGAAAGCTTTTGTTGTAGCTTTCTTGAATATACCATAATTTACTTATAGCTATAAAGTACCTTACTGTTTTATACGAATAATTTACCTCCAACTGTGTTTAGTAAAGTTAAATGTCACATCCTTCCAATCCAAGTCTGGTAAGAAAGAGTTCATCCGAAAGCTTTGTGAATTTTGAGGTTAGGAACTTTAAAGTGAGCTTATTTTGTACACAAATGACAATATACCTACTATTAACGTTTTTATCTGTTTATTCAATTTGAAATCTTATTAGAATGTTATGTTTTTCAAGATCTTATTGCGTATTTTGTATGTGTAAATAATGTTGGAGGCTCAAGTTACATTATTATTGATTAAGTACTAACAGCATTCACCGGCTTTTTGCACGACATTCCCGGTAAAATAGTTAAATGCGTTATTTCATTGTATGGATTCTTGAAAGTATGTTTCACAATTTAGAATTGTAATAATACAAATTGTATAAATTAAAATGGCTATCAGCGATTGAAATACAAAAGCGTCACTTATATTTTAGTATTGCTTCTACATCTAAATATGCTTTTTAGGGAGGAGAGCAGGAGAGTCAGCCGATGTATAATCACACCAATAGTGCCAATCCAACCTATGGTAACTATTATCAAGGGCAAACATATGGTAATGGTCATTCGCCTCAGGCCTATGCTCCAAACCCCGCTCCACAGGGATATTCTCCACAAAATTACTCTGGAAACCAGAATCAGGCATCCTACCCTGCTCAGACACCTCAGGGCTACCCACCAAATCCTCAGCAGTCTCCTCAAAACTATCAAGGCAATATGAGTCTCACACCTCAAACATACCAGGTAAGGATTGAAGATTTATGAAATTTGTTAAGAGTTTAAATGTCGAATAATCAACTTAAAACAATAATTTGATTAAATAATTTAATAGTATGATATCAGTTGTAAAATGAACAAACCAATCTGTTAATTAAGTAAAATGTTACTTACAACTTCTTCATAATACTTTTTAATATTTATTATTATCTTGTTGTTGTCATTATTATCTTAGGGGTAATTTGTATCTTGACATATTTTTTATTTTATTTTCAGCAGGGTGTGCCCAATCAATCTCCTCAGAGTTATCAAGTGAACCCTTCCACTTCTCCACAAGGTTGCCAGCCTAATCTTGCCCAATCGCCAAGGAACTACCAGCCCGCTCAGTCCCCTACTAACTACCCTAACAATTCGGCCTTATCACCTCCTGGATACAGACAAGTGCAGTCACAGTCGCCTCCCATGGGCTCCGTGCATGCTGCCATGCAGTATCATCACTCTCAGCAACAGGTATGTACTTTTTTTATATTAGATGGGACTGACGTTTAACCACTATCTCGCCTGGTGGTAAGTGATGTTGTGGCCTACGATGGAGCACATACTTGACTGATGAATGCTTTTAGTAATAGATAAAATACTTTTTTCCAATTCGTTTTGATATATTATGTTTGATTACATTTTAAATTTATTTTAGCATATGCAGCAGACCCACCAACAGATGCAGCAAGCTCATCAAGTACAGCAGTACCAACAACAACAACAGCAACTTCATCAGCATCAGCAACAGCAGCAACAACAACAACAACAACAGCAGCAGCAACAACAACAACAACAGCAGCAGCAGCAACAACAGCAGCAGCAACAACAGCAGCAGCAACAGCAGTCTCAGCAACCATCTCAACAACAAAATCAAATTCAAAAATCTGAACAGCAATCTAATAGCAATGGAAATTCTGGTGTCCCACAACAATCAGCTGATGTAAATTACTTTCATATAAGATAATTAACATTTTAATATTGTTTCCCTTTACTTTCAAAGTTTGCCCAGAACTAATTCAAATTAATCAAAATTCTGATTGCATAAATATCTTATGACAGGTTAAATATTGTTACACAGTTCTCCCACTACCTTCTAAAGTGCCAATATTGAAATGTATTAAGAAAAATATATCATTACAGCAAAATGAAAACCGAAGTACGCCATCATGTATCCGGCAGGGGTGTACTAACCCAGCTATTGCTAACAGTGAATGGGAAGATGAGTACTGCTCTAATGAATGTGTTGTTAGCCATTGCAGGTAATAATATCATTTATTTCATTTACATTACATTAATGGGAACTGTCACATGTAATAAGATACAATGCAATTGTGTTATCTCTTTGCATTAACTTAATTTACTTTGTAACTTCCAGAGATGTCTTCAGTTCCTGGGTGGCATCCAATAACAGTAACCAAATTCAAAACTTTTCTGCAGTCAAATAAACATCGTAACTACATAGGTACATATCAAATTTAATAAATTCACTCTTGTATGAACTTCAAGAATAAATCTTTACTTTATAAGAATCCTTGGATTTATTGTTTAAGTATCTTATTAATTTTATATGTTGTGATAATTGGAATTCTTAAGATTATCTGTTACGAATCTATTTAAGTGTGGAACAGATTTGTTAATTTATATGTTGTACATTTTTGTGAAGGTCTAACCAAGCTCATCTGTGCCATATTGCTTACCCTTACATATTTAGGACTACTTCATTAATTGACAATGCTAACATTAGCATGAAAAACTTAGTATACTTGAAATTTTTCAAATATAGACAAGTGTTGAAGGATATGGCACAGCTGCATGGTGTTACACCTGACTAGTTAATTTTACTAAATTTGTTAGAACTTATATTAATTTTTATTTTCATTTGCTGGAATTTTAGAAAATCATCAGATATTTACATTACATATTGTATAATAAATTGTGTAAACTGTTAATATGAATTACACAGTAAACGTTTTTTACAGTTGGTCATTGTGTTGTATCTATTAAAAAACTGTTAAGATAATCTTGAAGACAAAAATCTTCTATTAAATGGTGTTTTTTTTATTATATAATAAATATTATGTGATGCAGTAACCTACCAATACAAGTAATTGGTAGGTTACTGCACATTTGTTAACTTAAGCATTTTCTGTTAGACATTTCCAATAATCAACTGTAAAGATACTCAAGTTTTTGTAAAAGATTCATAGGCAGTACTGGGTTTAATAAATGCTCTGAATAATTGAAATGCGTAATATTTATCCTATTTAAATAAGACAATGTAACATGTCATACTATTTCTCTATTTTAGCTACATTCCTAACTACTCTACGATTATAATTATTGTACTTATAAAAACAGCAAAGTACTGCCTTGAATTACAATACAGCACAGTGTAGTAAAGTGTAAAATATTTTTTTAAATTACCGACATTTCGTATAGTTATTAGCCGAAATAATCATATAAAGGACTGTTAGATAAGACAAAGTTTCATAATAATAATACTCTTACATATTAGATTGATATTAAAGTAAATTGAATGCAATAACGTTCATTGATGAGTGCTAAAAATACTTCCATTAATTTCATATTTATTCTAAAATGTTAGTGTATCTGTGTATTACGTAAGTCGTTCGAAAACCGAGAGGCCGTGCATTATGTTAAATTATAAAAATCGTTGTGTATTATTTTGCAGTATTTTTTGAAGTTAAATTATTGTTTTTAAACTATAGCATTTATTCTTCTTCTAAAATGTTAAAATGGCAATTGTCATCGCCACACGTCGTTGAGGCTATAGAGCAGACGTCTATTTAGATTTCGGAAATTAGCACCTAAAGCATAGGTGACATTATACTAAATGTTAATATGAATATTAACGATAAATTTTACGATTGTATCGTATTTGCGTAAACTTAGTAAATACATTATGGTTATTATTAGCAAGTTTTAATACTTTACTGCATTGTAAATTTCTAATTATGAAACTAATAGCAATATCTACCCATTTCCCTAGGAGTTGCGTTTAGTATGATAGGATTTAGCTGGACCAAAATTTTCTTTATATTCAAAGCAATGATAATATTTTAAGATAAAATATGTTTTATTGTATGTCCAATACCTTATGATATAGTGATGTAATTGTAAATAAACACTCGCAATAATAGACGTAGATGTAGAGACTACATAAGGCATATTTTTTTTATTTCATGTTATTTATTAGTAGTCTCATTAGAACTACTTTATTTAGATAAAAGTTATATTAAAAAATGTAAGATATGACAATGTATAAATTGTAATTAGAAAAGTGATTCCATTAAATTTCTTAAACAGCAAATCATGCATTTTCCTTAAATCCAATCCCAAATCCAATCCAATCTCATTGAAATCGAAAATGATATCGCTAAATAAATAAAATGCGAGCGTGATATAATAAACACTAGCGCCTTTTGCATCCTTATTGTATGGATATTGAATGAACTAAGGTGTTGAGTTTGGTTTTATATTCCGTGCGCTGAATGTTATTATCATTAATTATTATTGATATTTTATTGGATTGAAATTTCTCTTTCTCTTTTAATAAAAACGTTGCCCCACCCTAGGATATTCTCCTGTGTCGTGGGTGCATTTACAAACACAAGTTCACATACACATGACACCCAGACCCGGATCAACAATTGTGGATCACACAAAGAGTTGGAAAAGGAGTGGATGACAATATCAAAGGTTATGGGACCTCCTGCTTTGATCTTGCTGAAACAAACATACTTTGTCTTGGAAGTGTTCAATGATAGCAGACTGTCCTCCAACCACGCCGTGATCCGAGAGAGGCCCACCTCACAGACACTCTTTAGATTTTTCCAAGATTTCTCATGGAGTAGCAGGACTGTGGCATCAGCGAACATTACCACATCTGCATTAGGTATTTCAATGCCATACAAATCATCGATGTACACCAGAAATATTGTTGGAGCAATCGTGCTGCCCTGAGGAACACCATAAGAACATAAAGCTTTAGCACTTATCGAATTCCCCATGCGAACGCTCTGGCTTCTTCCAGATAAGTAACTTAACAACCATTTCTGTGGTACTCCCCTTCCGATGTTTTCTAGTCTGCTTATTAGAATGGGAATTGAGACTGTGTTGAAAGCCTTCTGAAGATCGAGGAAGAGATCGACACATTTCTCCCCCTTATCTATATAGCGTGTGATACCTTCAGTGAGTTTGAGGATGGCGTCATTCACGTCGTCTTTAAAATAATATTATCTCTGCACTTCAAATTCAAACATCTTTTATTTTCGTCAGGCAAGTAGGTATTAAAATAAATATTTTGGCAACATTGATAATTAAATTCAAAACGAATCTGTCGACGTCAACATCATGCTTTAAATATAGTGATGGACAACGCCTAAAAATACTATTCTTATTAAATTCATTCAAATCGATATAATAAATATTGATTGATATTAACCAAAAGGTAATGCACGCATTATTACTAAGTTAATCCACTTATATTTGTAGTACTGTTAGTTTTAATAGAAAAAATAAAGTAGTAAAATTGTACAAGTTAAGACGAGATCATGAATAAATATCATATAATAATAAAATAGGAACAAATCTTATATTTTGTCATATAGAATTTTAATTTAAACATTGTCTCAGTACAAACTACAAAACATTGTATTTAAACTAAAATCGATTTGATTTTCAAAAATTATATGGATGTCCCATCATTAACCTGCCACAGAGAAAAACTAGGTTTCAAGGTTCCAACTAGTCTCTCATTCTAACTTTTTTTGGCAGAAAAAAAGGAAACTTATTGTTAAAATACAAGTTTTAGATGTAAATATATAACTTATAAATTACTATATTGTGTAAATATCAACTCCCTACTAGCCCTTAATGGCTATGTGTCAGTAATGTACATCTAGCATTAGTTTACGAGTCAGGAAATTAGAGGATATAAAATGATGGACGGAAATGATTTAGTTACTGAAACATCAAGAAGAGGTATTATTTCACAAGCATGGACACGAATTTCTCAGGTAAATTTCATATTTGGGGTTATTAATTTAGATTTATAAGAAAGTGACAGAACATTCTTACACTAATCTTTTAGTGAGTTGTCATCTTTATGCCGCGAATTATGAATACTTACAATATTCACCGGTCAAATCATTTAACCAATACCTATATTAAACCTGTATGTAAGACTCTTGCAATCATGTTGTATTGAAATAACATTAATATCAAATTCACTAACCAAAAAAACTATTGCAGTTTTATTTTGTAGTAATAAGTAGGTATACGAATATTGTTATAATCTTAATTTAATTACTATAGTTTTCTATTCCTTCATTATCATTCTCCAAGGTGACTAACCTTGGTTGGACTTATAAAAAAGAATCTATTTTTAACCAGTTTAGAAAATATATTCTAAGGAACAATCAGGTAGTGCAAGAGGGATTAATAAGCAATGAAATCTTATTGCAGATTTACCAAGGTACATTAGATAAATGGACACCACATGCCAAGTTTCGATGGGGTGGAAGTTTTGTACTTCTACTTTTGTTTATGCTACGAATATTCACAAAGCAAGTAAGTTATGCTTATCTTATCTCTTTTAGTACTGTTTCAACATATTATACAAGTAACAAAATGCTGATAAATGTAGTCATTGTAATGAGGATATCCTTGTTGTCATATAGTTATAAGTAATAATATTTCTACTGATGTAATAAATCACAAATATACATCATTAATCTACCTATATGAATTAGTATGTATATGAAACCAAAACTAAATCAAAATACAGGTTTAGGGATGTGGTCTACCTTGGTCATTGTGATACCAAAACTTTTTTCCAATATAATGTACTTAATAATTTAATAACACAATATAAATACAATCAGATTTTATATAAAGTACCTTAACCCCTCGAGCATCCTTATGACCACCCGGTGGATCATAAGAAAAAATGCTCCATGCTACTTTCTCTTTTATAAAATCTATTATTAATGTTTTGTTTTATTTTGACTGTATTTGTTTTATTTATATTGTAATGATCCTTGTTTTCGTGTGCCAATGGCCAAATAAATGCATTTTCTTGCATGCATAAGGATAAGGAAATGCATAAGGAACGCGGACGCTTGACGGGTTAAAGGAAACATATTTATTAATTGTTTGTTGATTATTACTAATAATCAACATATGTTTTCTATATTCATTAAACATATACATAAAAGTGAAGTATTATGTATGCCAATTTGAATGATATAAATATTTATTTAAATTAAATTATCTTATTTAAGGTGCAAACTATTTAAAACAAAATAAAGTACATCAACAAACAAATTATTTCATAAATCTGATTTGCAGAGATTCACTATCTGTTTATATCCCTATTATTCCTAAACTATGATTCAAATGAATGCAGTTCTTTACAGCAACAGTTTCTTTAGAGCCACACAATAAAATATAATAATATTAATTTCTATAACCATTACAATTTATCAATACTGTATTTCTCAGTATATGCATACTATGTATACAATTTACATTTTAAGTTAGTATATAATTTATAACCATTATTTACATGCTTATGTTTTCTCTATTCCAGGGATGGTACATTGTCACATATGCTTTGGGTATTTATCATTTAAACCTGTTTATTGCATTCCTTACACCCAAGATTGATCCTGCCATGGACTTTGATGGTAAGAGTGATATTTATTTTCATTTACATGACATCAAACAATAAACTCACTTCATGCAATGGAAAATAAAGATATTTTTTTCTGTAATTCATTCTCTATCTCACTCTCTACATTGTCTTTTGTCTAAACCAATATACCTATTGGTTTAGACAAAAGACAACCACATATAGTTACCACTAGGCCATAATGTTTTAATTTTAGGAGCAAAGTTTTTGTGCCATTTAATACCACCAACTTTCACAATCCAACATGTAAAACTTTTTGTCCGAAATGTTCAAACAATATCAATAAAAAATAGTCATTTGACACAGCAATAAATTAATATTTATATTACAGTAAATTAATATTTGTCATTAAAACACTATTACTATTATGAACACTTGTATCCTTTTGTTTACACAGAAATACTGAGATTCCATGGTATTCTTCAACTTTTCCTTAAAATATTACCTTCTTATTATTTTCTATGACTAAAATGCTTGGCCTAAAAAGCCATAAAATGCAGACATTTCCAAGTGTGCATACATATTTATTTGTGTTTGATTATTGAATCTCACAAACCCACATCTCACTAAACAGTGTTCAGAGAATGTGAATTAAACAAGCACCATGATTTCTCTGTGTGTCTCTCTGCCCACAATGAGCAGAACCTTAATTGAATTTGATTGGCTATTATTAAGATGTTATAAAATACATACTGCTCTTCATCAGCTATTCAACATAACAATTTGTTTTATTTCGGTAATTTATGCTATTAGTAAGATGTGTAGGAAACTCAATAATGTTTTACCTGGCGCGGCAATCAATCCGAAACCCCTTGTTCGTGTCACATTCGACCAACCCAGGAGTTTTTGTTGTGTCGAGTGTGTCCTCTAATCAATCATAATTTTTACATTAAATAAGGCACAAATATTTCGCAATCTCATACCGAGCCGCGACGCGCACATCTTAAAAGAGCGACTCAAAAAAACAACTTATTTTCAAGATAAGATGCACATTTCAATGCTGACACCGCGGACCGCGCGTATAGAATAAGTTGTTTTTTTTTTTTTTCAGTGATAATCTGTGATTGGAATAGGTATCACTGGTGATAATATAGGGAATTTAGTGTAGTGCCGTAGTGCCATTGACAACAGGAAAGCGTATGTTGGTTAGCTCTGTTTTTCAGAAACATTCTTATCAATACCAAAAAGACGTTAAACACGTTATACTTCATTTTCCTTATAGTAACCGGTACACGCGTCCTTACTCTACATAGTACTTATGTGTTTAAGTTATTAGTTTATTCAGTTTAAGTTTTCCCACACCTAAATCGTTAAATTATGTCGTTAGTGTATTTACTTAAACAGCATACTATATAATACACATCCATGATCCGATAGTCTGTCAAGTATATTCGAAACCGTGAGACATGATACAGCAAGCCGACCACCACTATGCCAAGCGTGCAGTCGCGCTGTGTTGATGATTGTTGATTAATAATTAATTTTCTAATGTTTTAGGTGATGATGATAATGGTCCAGCCTTACCGACCAGAGCTACTGAAGAGTTCAGACCGTTTATCCGAAGATTGCCAGAGTTTAAATTTTGGCTCTCTGTCACCAAAAGCACATTGATAGCT